TGTCCCCGGACCCCGCCGAAGCCACGCTTGCTGCAGGTTAGCGGACCAATTAGCATTCAACCGTTTTCCTTACGGCTTGTCTACTGACCGAGACCTACCAATAGATTAATTGATGCCCTCTCTTCAAAGGGGTTTATAATTATGCATCGATGCCAGCTAAGCATTCAAAACGCAGAATGCCGTCATCAAACGCCACGCATCTAACATGTACACAATCATGAGCCGATGTCACATCATCGTCTGTATTCATTAAATCGACACATGGGCGAACAAATCAGCCAAATATTTTGACTGCACGTGAGGCGCGTTCGAGGGCCGCCAACCAAACAGGATGTCTTGAAAAGCTGGCAAAGAACTCCCATCAATGAATTCAGCTTCACAACAAAGCCGAGATTCCAGCAGATGGCGCCCAATCACTACATTTATTGGTTTTGCAGGAGATTTTCTCCGACTAACAGAACTGGCGGGCAAATCTCAAATTACTGCAGTGTCTTCACCGTGCACATATTTTTTTCCAGACTCGTTGACACAGGGCTCCAGGCTCTTACTGCCTCACATCACCACCGTGCTGCACTACCTCAGCGGCGTGGTCCGAAACACCGATAGGCTGAAAAAGAAGAAATTCCGCCCACAGGTGTCCAAGGAACTCAACATCCTGTCCAAGCAAGTTATCGCCTTGTCCCTCGTTTATTTTTATTTATTTATTTTTTTTAACAGTGTCTGATTCTTTATTTGTGTCTGTTTTGTTCTTATTAATCTCCCAGGATCAGTCGGTTTGTTAGCGACAAAGAGCAGAGTTCAACGCTGATTCGGCTTTTACTGCCTTATCTATTGAAAGGCAAAAACTCTGAGGTAGTGTTTTTTTTTTGTTTTTTTTTACGCATTTCAAAACGTTTTTTTTTTTTTATGTATTTTTGTAGCCAGTGAACGTCTTGACTGCCTTTATTACAGGAGACAGAACTGGACATCCTGGCTACCATCCAGAACTTGCTGCAGCAGTGCGTGCAGCCCTCTGCTTTTCTGCAGCCGCTCAGCAAACTTTTCTCCGTCATTCACAACAAGCTGCCCAGGAAGGCTCTCACCAGCGTCTTCCAGGTACATACTGGTAGTGGTACTTTGGTCTCTTTTTTTTTCAGGTGCTCAAGTTTCTGATTCACTGTCGTGTTGTCCTCTTACTTTTAGACATTGTCAGACATGGATCCTTCGCTCAAATACATCACTGACATGACCACAAAGGTAGCTTTGAGCACTTGGGATACCTCAATGTCAATCGAAACGTAGTTCTCTTATACCTGACGTGTGTAACCACTCCTCCCCAGCTCAACGCCTTCGACAGTCGCCACCTGGATGAGGTCTACTTTGACGTCCGCCTGACAGCTTTCCAAGACGCCACCAGGCGGATAAGAGAGATGAAATCCCTTGACCTTGACTACATCGGCATCGTCATCCAAAACTGCTTCCACACATACGAGGTGACAAATGTTGTTGGAAAGCCGAGCGCCAAGCTGATAAATTTGACCATCGTCACACTCGACTTTATCTTTACAGATCGGAGACATGTCGCTGGGCGACAACGCCACCTTGTGCCTGTCCGCAATAATCGTCCAGCTGGCGGCGGTCGGCGCAGGGGAGAAGGTTTACCGGGACGTCATCCAACACACCATCTTGGACGCCATACACAAGGGACTCCGGAGCAAGACGGAGGTATTTTCATTTTGAATGCGGTATTTTGTAATCAAGTTTCCAATACTGCATTACGTCTCGAGTAGACTATTAGAAAATGAATGGAGGGAGGCGCAATAGTAAAAGCAACGGTCATTCGGCTGTGTTCACAAAATACAGGATTTCCGTCACTAAAAAGCATTAAATTCATTCAGTACCAGCCAATTCTAGACCAAGTCTGAAAAGATGTTTAAAAACGTCTTTCATACATGGCAATTTTCCGCGGATCCGCGGAAATCCGCCGTTTTATTTCTTAAATTGATCATTTTTGTGAATCGTCTAAATCCGTTGAGAAAATTTTAGGGGCGGTCAGGTACCTTATCGTCGAGTTTTCACGAGCTCTCCCGAACAGTCTCTCCGTTTTCCGTTTGTAAACAGCCCTGCGATTGGACGTGTATGAAAGCTTTAACTAATCAGATCACAGCTCGATTATACATACGGCCCAGCGATTGGTTAACTACAAGCGCTTGGACCAATCAAATTGCATGTAACATATTGTTTACCTGATTCATGGCGGCCTGTTCGTCTCGCAAATTCATTGTTCTGGGATCGTTTTGAGCGGAAATATGAACGTTTTGACGAAAGATCAGGAGTCTTCAATCCTAGAAATTGACTCAAATGTCAAGAATAAATTCCGATGGGACTGGCTTGACAGAAAAGTCACTGTAAAGGTTAAAATCAGGGGATGTGTTTACTTTTTTTAGTTTTGATTTTGAGCAGCAAATCTGGAGTTACATATGCTCACCAGGAATGCATAAGCAAAATTGCACAACTTTTCACTTGAAAGAATAGTGGCGATCTTGGGATATTTTTCTGTTCAATTTTCAAATAGTGTGTAAATTCAATACACTATCTTCAGCATGTTTAGTGCCACTTTTATAAGTAACCACGCCCCCGGCCAGGCCACGCCCTTTCCGCTTTTTTCATCACTCACCATTGCCATGTATGGTCTTTGGGAGTGAAGGAGTTAAGGACGAAATTAAGGACGAAAAAGCAGACCAAGTACGTCGTCCAAGAACTAAGCGGAGGCTCAGAGGGGTTTGAGCCTTTTCCGTTGCCAGTCCCTCTCTTTGGAATGACCTCCCACTGAACCTTCGGCAAGCCCCCACGCTGCCCATCTTTAAAACTCGTCTTAAAACGCTTTTTTTTTCCAAATTATTTATTTATTTTTATTCTTTGGCTTTTGGCTGAGCATAAGACTTGATTTTTAGTTTTGACTGCTTCTGTGCTTTCTACCGTCTTTTCTATTCATTTCTTGTTTGTTGTTGTCTGAATTCTTTTTTGCTCCTCGTACAGAGCTTTGTATACAGCCGTGGTTGGTTTAAAGTGCTCTATAAACAGAGTTGAATTGAGTGCAGAAGGAGATAGATGAGAAAGGTAAAATCCACACAGGTACATCTGTGGAGACTGGGGATTGTAATTTACACGAAACAAAATGGGAGCTCCCGACATCCTTCATGTTGCAATTAATTTCTTCTTAATTCATAAAGAAAAAAGTCCAGCGTCCAACATGAAGCGCTAATGCTGCCTTGTGCCGAAAAAAATGACCTCAAAATAAATCTTGACTGAATCTTTGACACTCCCTTTAACGCTATATATTACCAAAAGTATTACATTTGATTTTCTCATATGTGCAGAAACCCGGAAATATTCGAAACTGTAAGACCCAAAACCTGTAGTGGGGATTGAACCTTTGAATAAAAGTCTCCCGTCTTCTCTATGTTAGAGCGTGCAGCACGAATACACCAACGTACTCGCCTGCCTGGTGAAGACCTTCCCCACGAAGAAAGAATTCCGAGACATGGTGCAGCTCACCGACTACAACGACCCCGAGTCCGACTTCTTCGAGCACATGAAGCACATTCAGGTATGGAATCTTTTACATCCAGCTTCCCTCTTGAGATTCTTATCGTTTGTGTGTGTCTTCCTCTAGATCCACCGTCGGGGTCGGGCCCTGAGGAAGTTAGCCAAGCAGCTAACAGAGGGCACTGTGGTGTTGTCGCCGCGTTCGTTGCAGAATTACATCATGCCTTACGCTTTGACGGCCCTGATGGACGAGAAAATGATGCAGGTGACGCTCGCGTCGTCACGCTCACAACGCATTTGACTTTTGTCTCGTAACATTTTGACCTGGTGGTGCACGGCAGCGCGAGAACATGACAACGGCGTGCGTGGACATTGTGGCCGCCGTGTGTCGCCGGCTGACCTGGTCCAAGTACCTGTACTACCTGAAGCATTTCGTTCACGTCCTGCAGACGTCGCAGGTCGAGCAGAAGCTGGCTGTGAGGTGGGTGGCCACTCAACGAATTCTTATTTTCATAGTCCGTTTGAACTCCTCTCATTTTGTCGTCATCCTGTCACCTCCAGTTTGCTCGTCAAAGTCCTCGAGGCATTCCACTTTGACCATGAGACCCTCGCCCGAGAGATGGAAGCTGCTAAAGCCAGAGAAGGTGAAAACTTGTAAAAAGGGCTACAATGTGTTGAAAAAATTTTTTTTTCTTCTTAATTTAAAAAAAAATCAATTTAAGTGGGATTTAAGAAGTAAATATTTTTGGAGTATTCCCCATGATAAATACAATGAAACTCCTCTACAACGAAATCCTGTTTGCAGCAAGAAATTTTTCACAACGGGGTTTTTCACTGTAGCAAATTTTATTTTAGATGTACACACACACACACACACACACACACACATCGTATAAGATAAGATAAGAAAACCTTTATTAGTCTCGCAATGGAGAAATTCCCAATTCACAGCAGCAAAGTTATGAAAGGAAGAAGTAGAACAACAAAATATAGGAGCTGCTGGAAAGGCAGCCACTCTCGCGGCACCATTTTGAAGTCAAAATAACAAAAATAACACAACACAACACATAGGACACAAGACAGTCGTGCAATCTTCACCACTTTTCTGCATCTGTATATCTGTACTCTTTTTTATTCCAATAATGTACATAGTGCATAAATATGAGCATACACTCTTTTGATATTGTTTAACATTAACATACAATTATTTTATAGAAATCACTCCACTTTGTCTGTTGGTTTTAAAAAAGTCATTTACACTCTTTTGCTTCCCAACACTTCTCAATTTCTTGGATAATGTTTTTTATTTTGCTTCCTTTGTCTTTCATTTTGATCACTTTTACCCTCTCTTCCCGCGTCAGAACTCTTCTTGTCTTAGCTGCTTGACATCCAAAGGTCCGTTTTGTAGCCATTTTAGCAATGCAACGTTCTTGCTGCGTCTGAAACGAACAATAACAAATACTTCCTGGACTACTGCGTCGATGTAAACCAGTGTGGTGGTTGCTGTTGCTGTTTCCGAACGAAGCAGTAGAGGTCGCTGTTGGATTAGACTTTTGCGGAAGGCTTGTTTTCGTTGGAGTGAATCTCGTCACAAGGCAAGAGCAGAGAAAAGGATTTCGTAAAACGGAACAGGGGGATTTTTCGTCGTAGGGGGAGCTTTCATGCATGAAAATGTTTTCACATTAGGGGGTATTTTCGCCCATGTAGGTTTCGTTGTGGAGGAGTTTCACAGTAAGGGTTCACTTTAACAGTTTTTAAAAATTTTTATTTATTTATATATATTTTTTTTGTGAAGTTACAGATTCCGCGATGGATGTCGAGGAAGAGGCCGCAGCCGAACAATCGGAGTCAAGTGACGACGAGGAGCCCATGGAGATCGACGGCAAAACGTCTCTGCAAGCTGTTGCCGTGGAAACGCCCGATGAAGGACAAGTTTCCTCCAAGAAAGCGACCGCCGCTAAAGCCAAGAAACCCCCGGCTCCCAAGCCCGTGGCGGTGTCCTGCGGTCTGCCGCAGAGTCAACAGGAGCTGGAGTCGCTCATCAACACCATCCAGCAGAGTGTCACGAGCAGCGTGTTGCCTCGCCTTCAAAAATGTCTCAACGCCAAAGTATGATTTAAAAAAAATTTTTTTTTTTTAATCGACGTCAATGGAAACAAGGAAAAGGCAGCAAAGTGCGTATTTGCGAATCTCTAGGTGAAACGTGACGATGAGCACAAGGCGGTGAAGTCCAAGGAGGTGAAGGAAGAAGAAGTGGCGCGCATCCCGATAGCCTTCGCCATGATCAAACTCATGCAAACTCTTCCTCCACACATCATGGAGGCCAACCTGCCAGGGTATCCCCATTTCTTTATTTATTTTTTTGACGCTCTTTGCTTCAATGTGTCCTCTTCTAAAAGGGTCAAAGCGTGTTCTTCTGTTTGCCGTCCAGGATCCTGATCAAGGTGTGCGTGGTCCTGCGAAACCGATTCCAGGAGGTTCGCGAAGTTGCCAGGGGAACGCTGGTGAAGATCCTCGAGACGCTGGGCTGCCGCTACCTGCGGTACATGCTGAAAGAGATGCAGGGTATCCTCGTGAAAGGCTACCAGGTATAAACTAATTCATGTCAACGCTTGTTACGTCCTTTTATCTGGTCTTGTTATATTTGTTGCATTTTTTTTTTCCTAAAATGGGTTAGTTAAGATGTACAGCATCTCCTGCTGCTCATTTAAAAGTTTTGCTACTGGTATATTGCTGTCATAGAACTATGTTGAGGTTAGTTTATGAGCTTCATGTTGTGGTTTGCCACCATCTTGTGGCATCTGCGGGCAATTCTCAACCATTTTGGGGGTCTCGTTACTTGCTGATTTTTGCGACTTGTGGGAGGCATCAGTCCTTCCACGGCATTTGATTTTCTTTCTGTATATAATTTTTTAATACATTTATTGCGAATAATACAATCCGCATTTTAGCAAAATAAACATGAAACAATAATTGATTAAATAATGACACTTGTCGACACTATTTTTGGCACTGTTTCCAAATGTGCCCTCATTTTTTTTCCTCTGGCGCATCAGGTTTTCAGAATAATAATATTAGTAATATGATAATATAATATGTGATGTAATATTTATGAATTTAGGGTTCAGCAACAGGTGGCTTTTTTTTCCTGAAATGTCATCATTTTTTTTTATTGGTCAAACTTACAAACCAAAAAAATAAAAGTATCATAGCCTGATGCGCTTGTTAATCTAATCTAGAAATGAGCCATGCGTTATATAAATCGAACATGAGCGTAAAAGAAATGTCCACCCCAAACGAGAGCAGAAACTCCATCATCTCATCTTCTCTTTGTGTATTTGTTTCCCAGGTCCACGTTCTGACATTTACTGTGTACCAGCTGCTCTCGGCCCTCAGCCCAACTCTGAAAAGTGGTGACCTTGACCCATGCATGAGCATGCTCATCAACGTAAGAAGGAAGCGCTCGGTCTCATTTTTCGGACTTGCGTACGATCGCGTTGTGTTTTTATTCATTGGCTTTTCCTTGCACCGCTCAGATCTTCAACAACGAGCTGTTTGGCGTCGTCGCCGAGGAGAAAGAGGTGAAGGGCATCGTCTCGAAACTGATGGAGGCGCGGCATAGCAAGAGCATGGACTCCTACCAGATTCTGGCCCAGTTTTGCAGCAAGGAGAGCATCACCATGCTCGTTCTGCCGTTGAAGGAGGTGGGCGGAGTCCGGTTGGATTGTGCTCTTTTCACTGCGCGCGTTTTGTTTATTCAATCGATCATTGCAGATTCTGGAGAACTCAAAGAGTCTGAAGGTGTGTAACCGCGTGGCCGCAGTTCTGCGGCGCCTGGTTCTGGGTCTGCTGGAAAATACGGGCATGGGCTCCTCTGACATCCTCCTGCTGAGCCACGGTCTTATCAGCCAGAGCCTGCCTCTGCTCACTCAGAAAGACAAGTACGAATGACAGGGAGTGACACGTCTGCATTTTGATTTTTTTTAATTTTATTTCATCATGTTGTTTTTTTTTTTTTGTTTTGTTTTTTTAGGGACAAAGCTTCAGCAAAGCCTCCACCTGACCCCCGACTCCCCCCTCCGAGCTGCCTACTCCTGCCACCCACTCCAAAGAGGGGCGGTGTAAAAGCTCCCGTCAGCCGCCGAACCAACATGCACATCCTGGTGGATGCGGGTCTTAAGGTAAGGAGCGAGCACAGAACAAAATGATCCAATTTTACGAAAGCCTTTCATGCACCCTGTAACCTGATAATGCAAGATGTCCACTGTAGCAACCGCTGTCCCTGAAAGGGTTTGTTGCAATGTAATTTTGCCAGTGACATTTAGTGCCAGGCAGAAAAATGAGCGCAGGAGGAAGAAATTTCTTTGCATTCCACTTCCGATGTTTTCGCTGTATTTTTATTGGAGGTCTGACATGAGATTTTTTTTTTTTTTTCTGAATGTATGAAATGTGTGCCTTACTCAAAGTGTGGGAAACGGTGCTGACACAACCAAAACATACCGTATCATAGTCCGCCTCTTTTGGTAGCGTTCATAATCACTCCATGTTCTCCAGCTGCTGCATTTGAGTCTGAAGAAAGCCAAAGTGACGTCATCCATGGAGTCGGCCCTCGAGATGTTGGACCCTTTCGTGCCGATGCTGCTTGAATGCCTCACCTCCATGCACGTCAAGGTGGGAGCAGCTCACATTTCGACCCAACGTGGCTTCCAGAATCAAATAACTTCCCGAATCCCTTTTCTTTTTTTTTTTTCTCACCCTCTAATCAGGTTATCACGGAAGCTCTGGTAGCCTTCACGTGGGTTCTGAAGTTCCCTCTGCCTGCCGTGGCGGAGAATGTCAATCAGCTGACCAAGCAGCTGTTTGTCCTGCTGAAGGATTACTCCAAGGCCGGAGCTGCCCGTGGGGAGAACTACATCCTGGTCCAGAATTGCTTTAAGGTTTGGCAATTTTAACGACTTGTCATATTTTGTGCCGTATTCGCCATACTTGTTGTCTCTTTCAGACCATCACCATACTGGTGAAAAATGTGAAGGACAGCATGATTTCCGAGCTCCAACTGCAGGTCCTGCTGGGATACGCCGAGGAGGACATCTATGACCAGTCTCGACGGGCAACTGCCTTCGGCCTCCTGAAGGTATGTGTAAAAATGACGTCTTTCGTCCTCTCGCGATATTCGCGACACTTCAGCAAGTTTTCCATGGCAAAAAGTGAAAATTCTTGCGCTGTTGATGCCCCCCCTTCAAGGGTGTATAATTGCCTATAGTCAGTGTCAAAGCACTACTTTTGGCCTCAATGAAAAATTCAACTCACTTCAACATAGTTCGCGGCATCATTGGCAGACATTGAAGAACAAAAAAACGTGATTGTTGTGATAAATGTTAGTCGGATCCCGACCCAGGAACGCTTTGATTTAAAATTTCACCGACTTGTCTCAGGCGATTCTGTCGCGGAAGCTCATCGTTCCCGAGATGCAGCCACTGATGAGGAAAGTAGCCAAGCTGTCGGTCAACGGAAGTAACTCCATGATCCGAGTGCACTGCAGACAGATCTATTTAAAGTACTTGCTGGATTACCCACTGGGGAAGAAACTGCAGGACCACTTGGACTTCATTGTGGCCCAGCTGGCGTATGAACACGACACAGGCAGGGAGTCTGCGCTGGAGATGCTCGCTTACGTCTTCCAGACGTTCCCTCAGGTACTTTTTCGAGCTGCGCAATTAATCCGAAATAATCATGTTAACTCTTCGCCATGCCGGATTTTATTCTCTTAAGACCTTACTGCTGAGGTACAGCAACCTCTTCTTTGCACCGCTTGCCCTGGTGGTGGTCAACGACGACTCGGCGCGCTGCAAGAAAATGGCCGCCATGGCCATCAAAGACCTCCTGGCCAAGGTGGACGTCAACCAGCAGAATTCTTTGTTCTCCCTCGTCAGCGGTTGGCTGAATGAAGAGAAGGCACGTGAGCTTGACTTTCCATCTGGTGGCGCTTTGTCATATTTGAGCGCGTCGTTAAAGGTTGCTGTGGTGCAGGTGAGCCTGAGGCGTCTGGGCGCTCAGCTCTGCGGTTTGTTCGTGGAGGTGGAGGAGGAGAACTTTGCCAAACGCCTCGACGGCCTGCTACCGCTGCTTGCGAAGGAGCTCAACCCCGACAACTACGAAGACGTACGATCTTAAAATGGAGACGCGGGTCAAAACGTGACACGGAATAGCCTCGGCGTACCTGTCAACGTCAAGACGGGTCAAACGGAAGCCTGTTTTTATGACTTTTCATGTCGTTTCAGATGGAGGAGGAGGAGGAGGAGCGGGCAGCGGACAGGCTCCTGTTCACTTACCTCACTCTTGTCACCAAATTGATCAAACATTGCGGTTTCCTGGAGCTCAGCAAACCTCGTGACACCCTCACTCATATTTGGGGTAAGCCGCCCACTTCGCGGCTGCCACCAAGCCTATCACATTAACTCATTCACTCCCAAAGACGTCTTTAAACGTCTTTTCAGACTTGGTCTAGAATTGGCTGGTACTGAATGAGTTAAAATCCGCTGTCGTTTTTTTAGGCCACATCGAAGGCCATTTGCGCCACCCTCATTGCTGGGTGTGGCTGACCGCCTCGCAGCTCTTCGGCCAGCTCTTCGCTGCCCACCAGGCGGAGGAGCTGGTTGCGGCGTGGAGAGCGCAGGGAGGCGGGAAATCACCCCCGAATGTGGCCGCCGCTTTCATCACGAGCAATCTGGACAAAAAGGTCACGGTCAACGTCAAGTCGAGTCTGACTCGAGTCCCCCCACCCCAGAGTTGCAATATCCTCTTCTCACATCCTCTCGTCATTCTTTTCTGCAGATGAGAGAGCTGGCGTTAGCCTTCTGCCATCAGCTGCAGTCCAGATTCTTGGACACGGAGTCTGGCGAGCAGGTGATCAAAAACCTCCTCTTTGTGGGCAAGATCATCTACTTGGTCTCCCCCGAGTCGAACATAATCACCCCAGAGGAGGAAATGGAGGCGAACGGGGAGGAAGAGGAGGAGGATAATAAGGAGGAGAAGGACGAAGCGGACGACGTGAAGGACGACAAACCTCCGTCGCTGCTGTGGCTGATCAAAAAGCTGTCACTGATGGCCAAAAGGGAGGCGGCACATAATCCCAAAATTCCGCTGAAGGTACCCAAAGCAGCATCCGAAAGTCCATTTCAATGCACCATACTTTCGGTGTCACACAATAAGTTGAGTAGGAGAAAAAAAAAAAAAGACATCCAATCTTTGAAGAGACAAAATGGAGCACGGCTCCTTCAAATGATACTTTTCTGACAACTGAAGAGTCAAAAGAAATGTTCTCAAGCTATTTTGAAACCTCTACATACATTTTATTGAAAAATGTGTTTTATTTTATGCTAAATGTTTGCTTTGTTGAAGCTGTTGTGAAATGTAAAATCAACTTTGCTAGCATCCTGTTGTGACTTTTTTTTTTTTTTTTTTTAAGCAAAAACAAGGTACACTTTACCATGCCGAGTTTTTGTAACATTCCCATCCCTTTTATTTACAGAGAACCTGCGTTTTTAAATTCTTGGGAGCAATCGCAATGGACCTCGGCAAGGAGCGACTCGGCCCCTATTTGACCACCATCATCGCGCCGCTCTACAGAGAACTGGAGAGCACCTACGCAGAACAAGGTAAACCACACGTGTTTTTTTCCATGCCTACCTGAAGGGGGCGCTCACTTACGTCGTCGTCATCAGACCCGACACTGAAGAACCTGGCTCAGGAGCTGATCGAGCTGATGAAGAAACAGATGGGCCTGGAGACCTTCTCGCTGGCTTTCTCGGCGGTGCAGAAGCAGTTCGCAGTGAGGCGGGCTGCGCGTAAGCGACAACGAGCCACGCAGGTAAAGCCACCGCAGGCTTATCGTGACTTAAAATCAAGATTTTTTTTTTCCTTGCAGGAATGAGATTTTATTTATTTACCTATTTCCAGGGAATGTCCCCTTCAAACACACGTGACACATTTTAACGACGGAACAATTTCATGTCAATAAATTTGAGTTTGGTCTTGCCAGGCGGTGACCAACCCAGACATCGCCGCTCAGAAGAAAGTCAAGAAGCACCTCAATAAAATCGAGGCCAAAAAGCGCAAGATCGAGTTCCTGCGGCCTGGATATAAAGCCAAGAAGCACCGTAGCCACGCGCTCAAAGACCTGGCCATGGTGCAGTGAGTTAATCAAGGACCTCATTTTGTCAATAGATAAGGCGGAATCATGTCAATGGGTGAAAAGTCTCCCAGCGCCGCCTTTTTTTTTTTTGGTTTGTATAGCATTTTATAAATCATCCCTATAAAAAGAAGTGTCACACGATTGTTACAATCACCAAAAGTCTTTACTGGGAATCATTTTCACTGTACAAGCAGTTATAAATATGCAACCATTCAATTTGAAGCAAACTGTACTCTGCAATCTATGGGGGGTGGGGGGGGGTCATTTTAACTATGTCGACAATAAAAATGAAGCGGTGGTGCGACGACAGGGAAATCAATTCACTCATGTACAAAAAAAAGATTTAAATAACACTCGGTGGTCCATTAGTGTGTAAAGAATCGGCTATGCAGTGCCTCCTCGCAGAGTGTCATCGCGTTTCTTGAGCGTTTGACACGCTTGAGCCTTCTGGGGGGGTTATGGGAGTGAATGAATCCGACCAAAGGCACCCAACTTTGTTTGATTTGAAAGTATGAAGTGTAACCTTGACCACCGCTGCGCTCTGAACAATGCTTTTCACGCAGACAATAGAAAACGAGGCCTCTGCTTTTCAGTCCCAGGTTTGGCCGGAGTACACGGGAAGCGAGGTCAGTCACAAGGTTTCATACAGAAGGATATTTACAAAAAAAAAAAAGGGGGGGGGCACATGTCATCGTCGTCTTTTTTTTCCCTCTGTTCTACTGCCGACTCTTCAGCGAATCCACCAGCCTGCAGAGAAACGCCGCTGTAAACACACTCGTCTCTTTTTTATTATTTGTCTTAATCGTTTAAAACAAAAACGTACCACTCCATAGCTTCATCCAAGCCCGTGCCTTTGGTCGCCGAGGTCTTGAAGATCTGCCACTTCCGATCTTTGAGGGCGGGGAGGCCCAGTGCGTTGGCCACCTCGGCCGGTGTCATCGCCTGTTCCATATCTTGCTTGTTTGCAAACACGACAAGGATGGCCTTCTTCAGCTCCTCCTCCTGGATTCCAAAAAATAATAATTAAAAATAACCACGAGAAAACAGCATACTGCTTGAGATTATGACGACTCCGTGGTATAGACTCGCCTCCAACATAGCCACAAGCTCAGACTTGGAGATGCCCATTCGGTCACGGTCGCTGCTGTCGACAACGTAGATGACAGCGTCCGTGTTGGAGTAGTAGCACCGCCAGTATGGCCTGTGACAAGGGCGGGGCATTTAAAAAGATGCCGGAAACATAACAAATCAATGCGGTATACTTACCGGATACTCGTCTGGCCTCCCAGATCCCACACCTGGAACTTCAGGTTTTTGTATGTCACGGTCTCCACGTTAAAGCCGATTGCTGCACAAGAGCGACAACGGAGGGTGTCAAGTCAAAATAGACTCTTGTGGTGACGGATCGTAACCTAGTCCGGAGTCCCCCCCCACACACACACATCTTTTGTTGAGCTCTCACTACTCACCAGCGAAACGAAAAATGTATGTCGTAGAAAATCTGAGTAAAAGTGTTCCGTGGGAGCTGTGCTGCATTGTGTTGCCTCAAGTTTCAAACTCTTTTTTTTTTTCCCCCCTAATACAATGTGAGTGAGATTCAATGCATTTGAGTAAGCCGGTTTGGTGCAGAAGGAACGAGTCAGCCTTCAAGGTAAGCAGACGCAGCTTTATTTTTGCTTGTTAGTCAGCTCATAATTTTATTTACTGCATCACTCAAGGCTGATGCTTTTTGTCTGCTCTAGGCGGCGTAAGCGCAGACTACCATGTGGTGCTTGCAATGTGTCCTCCAATATTATGCGAGCATTCCATTCTTCTGGCAGTCACACTGTGCCAGGTGTATAAAAAAACAAATTGTGATCGATAATTTTTTGGAAAAAGTGAAATTGGATGTCTTCCCATGGCACATTACTAGTTGATTTTCCCTAATGTAGTGTTGGTACTTACTTGGGATTGTGGTGACCACCTCCCCAACCTGCAGCCGGTACAAAATAGTGGTTTTCCCAGCACCATCCAAACCCAGGATGAGAATCCTCATTTCCCTGGTTCCAAACAGGCCCGAGAAGATACTGGAGAAGAAGCCACCTGGAGGTACACACCCATTTTGCTGTGTTTTTTTTCCCCCTCTCCAAACAGCAACCATGTGAATCATACAACTGTTAATTTAAATTTAAAACTCATGCAAAAGCTGAGAAACTGAAGACTTTATTTGACAATAATAACTTGTTTGAATGTTTGACATTCCGGAAGCTTAGATGCAGCCGGCTTGACTGGTTAGCCACCGTTTGCCTGATCAACACTAGCCAGGTAAGGTTATGTTAAAAAAAAAACACAAGCTGTCACTTTGCTGCTAAGTGTACAACACTTGGGTGCCGTTTTTGGGATAAAATAGTTAGATCGGTGATATTTGAATTGTCCACTGCACGCAAAGACAAATATTGCAATGAGCTAACGTGGTTTTAGCTTTAGCCAGTTTGGCAAAATCACAGTTAGGGGGCCATTTAGAAGTCGACAAGTAGGACAAAACACAAGCTTTCGTGCGTTTTTACGAAAACTCCAACAGCTTAAAAGTTAAATTATTCGAGAAATGTGAATTTGGTCGTATTTCAGAATACGTACCCATTTTTGATCAGACCAAAGGAAGCGTCTCGCAGGTTGGATCTGAAAGCTTCCGTGTGGTGACGTGTTATTGAATGACGTCACTGACCCCCAGCGTAAGCTTCCTTCCGCGTTTTCACTTTGTGACCTATCATGACGTACATAAAATTGATACTTTTACTTTGTGGTAACTGTATTTAAATATAAAGCATCGAAAAGATTTGAAGTTTAAAAAAAATATTAAAAAAAAAACGTTTTCGTCGAAAGTGCCGCTGGTCGAAAAAAGTTGTATGTTTATAGGTGCACGTTCAAGAAACCAAATCGTAAACAACCGCTTGCAAGCATGTGTTAACACAGGATATCTTTACAATGTTTATCTGTATCAAAACGATGGACTACAGATCTCGTCGAAATGTTTAATACTGTGTTTAAATAGACTGCCTTAGGTTCATAAATGAACTTGTAATCCTAAATTATAAAACATTCTGTTTTGCTAAACAATTTTTGTTTGCCAAATACAGTAATCAATATTTCTTCAGAATGTCAATTAAATATTAAGCTACAATTCTGGTGTGTTTAGGAATGGGGGGGGGGGCACTGAACAAGAGGCTTTTTTCCAAACATGTGACCGGTACTGTAACTGTGCAAATGGAGTGGATCTAGAAGCAGTTCACGGTCCCTCTTGAACATGGTTAACACTATCCCCAAAAATGACTCACCCAGTGGTACCTTTGATTATGATGCTGTCAAATATATTTCAATATCTGCTAGGTTAATGCGAAAACACAATCAAATTTCCATCGGCAGGCTAATGAAAGTAGCAATAACACTTTAAGCAACAGATATTTGAAGATGAATGTTGAAGCAACCCACGTAGACAGACAATTAAAAAAATACTCCTGCATATATTCTTTATCTTCTGCAAAAAAAAACAAAAAACATGACAAACTGTTGTAGCTCTGTGCGTCATTTAAATTTAAATGTGAAAAGAATTAGAATGAGGTTATGCCTTTGTGTCACATTTAACCTGAACAGTTTGGAAGGGAATTTTAACAGTCTGCTTGTGAACGCAACTCGAGCCGGAGCGAAGGAGTTGCCCCTCTCTCAACAGCATCAAATTTTATGTTCTCCCTGGGAGGAATATTCCTCACTGTGAGCTCCGGCTGCAATTCTGCAACAGAATGAAAGCCTTTTGTAGCAACCCGAACAAGTCGAACATGCGGGTTTGAGCCTTCGTCGTCCACGGATGCGTCTGGTGGCGCCTATCGCCTGAGACATCGGTTGCAATCCGCGGCGAGACGCAGACGGGATGGGGGAGCGGTCGGACCGAGCCCCTCTGCTGGACTGGGAAGAGGTCCCGTCCGCGGAGAAGCCCACCGGTGTCGACTCCAGAGACCGGCTCGCGAGTCCCTCCGACAGCCGCGGTCCGCCGGCTGTCTCCGCGCCGGGGCTTGGGTGGAGCGGCGCTCCGGGGGGTCCAGACGGCTGCGGCGCCCCGCCCGCAACCTCCATCACTCAGGCGGGCGAGGATGGAATACGGCGCCCCGACGCGCTGGAACATCCCTCGGATTCAGGACCCGGGGATGTGCCGCTGGAAGATCGGATGGTGACGTGGGAGGAAAAGGATCAAATCGTTTCGGTTTTTGTGGTTACGTTCAACACGAGAACAGGTGCGACATCAAATATGCAAGACGTTTGGCCAGACAGCTCGTTGGGTTCACCCCATATCTGTGTTAAAACGCCATTTATGTTCACTTTTCATTATTACCAATCAAAACAATCCGATATTTTTACTAATCTTTTAAAAACAAATGGCAGCGAATGCATGGGGAGAAAAATCTGTGTCTGCATGTCTCAAACAGGTGTGGCCCTGTTTTATGACCTGGCCTTGGATTGACAAAATCAGTCAATAATTCGTAATCTTAAAACTGTGACGATGTCTGTTTTGTTTTCGAGTTTCTTGTGAATCAGTGCAGCCAAGTTGGCTCATTGATCCACAGGAATGAAAAATAAAACGGTTGGTTCTGTGCAGAAGGCAACTGGGACACTCTATGGAGGTTGGGCGCTTGTACTTTTTTTTTTTTGACAGAGGGCAGTGGGCGTAATAAGGCTTCATCTTCACTGTAATAACATTTTACTCAACTTATTTAAGTGAGCTGGGGATTCATCTAATTACAATCATTGCGAAAGGAAACAAATATTGCTTTTCCTAACTAACTGAGACCAAAAAGTCAATTTCTTTCAAGCTCAGGCGGCGAACACATCTCCTTTGCCGAAATAGTCCATCCACCAAACAGGTCTACCAAATCAAGATCTCCGATGAAATGTCGTCATATCTTCCAGTTTCACTCGTGACAAATGGAACCAGCTGCCGCATAACGTTCACGGTATCGAACGCGCATGTCCGTGTTGGGTTGACATGATTTGTGTGTGTGTGTGTATGTGTGTGTGGTAGGAAACATGCTTGAGTGGTGCCTACCCAAGGATATGGACCTGGAAGGAGTGGAGTTTAAAGCCATCGCCAGCGGCTCCCACAGAGTCACCACAGACTTCATGTAAGTGGCTCCCGACTTGCATGTCAATATTTGATCAACAATTTGGCGTTTCAATATTTTGTGACCGTTTCATTCGTATTTTATTGTAAGTATACGGCATGCCGTTACCTTGTCTGATTTTTAGTTTATCAAAATGATGCGGCTTTTCGATTGGCAGAATTCCATTAACCCTGTAACCTTATAACATGATAAGATGTCCACTGTAGTAACCGCTGTCCCTGAAAGGGTTAAAAATAGCCAAGTAGGTTGTGAAAATGTGGCGGGGTTTTATTTTACAATATTTTATGAACAGACCGCGGTGCTAACGGGGCTACATTTAGAAATAATTCAAAAATAAAAACTAAAATAAATAAACAAATGCACTGAAAATTAAATCGGATTTTATTTGATGAAGCCAACATGTTTAATTTGATTCAATACAAAACAAAAAAGCCGAAATGTTGCATATAACTTTCAGCAGCAGTACATGTAGAATTTATTCCTAAATGCAGTTAAAAAACATTTCTACACATTGTCCAAACAATATGACATGCTACATCTTCCTGCTAGTATACCCTATTTTCCGAATTATAAGGCGCTTCGGATTATAAGGCGTACCTTCAATGAATGGCCGATTTTAAAACAGTTTTCATTTGTAGGGCGCACCGCGTTATAAGCCGCACAGAATAGAAGCTACAAAAGTGGCTGCGGTTGCGCTATGCATCCACTAAATGGAGCTGCGCTAAATGGAATACAACGCAATACAGCTTTATTTATACAGTTTATACAGCGCTTTCACAACCGCTGCAGCTGTAACAAAGCGCTTTGCATAACATTTAAAATACTACGTCCAAGAAATCAGAATATTAATCCATATACAAGGCGCATCGGATTATAAAACACATTGAGAACGTTTCATGCTTTTAGGGTGCGCCTTATAGCGCGGAAAATACGGTAATTCAATTTGAATGGAATAAATACAGATTGAAAAAGACATCAAACATGAATATATTATTCAACTTGCAATTTGTGGACATGTACTTCCTCTTAGCTTCCTCTTAGCAGAATGTGTTGCCAAAAAAAAAAACAAAAACAAAAATAAAAACCTCCCAACAGATAAATAAATAAATAAATAAATAAAAGAAAAGCAGCTCAGCCATCTGGCCCTGCCGTTGCTTCCATGATTCACAGGCTTTATCTACCCACCCTCCCCTCTCCCCCCCAACCCCCAACACACACACCATGCATGCCCAGCTACTTCCGGAAAGGCTCCTACTTCGGCCTGGCCTGCTTCGCCAACATGGCGGTGGAGAGCACGGCGGAGCGCGGCGCCAGGATGAAGTCGGTGGGCATCCTGTCGCCTTCCTACACTTTGCTCTACCGCTACATGAGCTTCCTGGAGCACCAAGTCAGGTATCACGCCTGAGGTTTTGATTTCTTTTTCATTTTAAAAGATGAGGTTGGAATATAGAGCGCTCTGTTATGGTGAGAAATTCGTCTTGACTTTCCCTCATGACAATTCCTCAAATCTGTGACCTCCACTCACTCGCGCCTTACTCATCCACTTTTTTCACAAAGAGCGCCCTGTTGCTCACAAGATAGTTGACATCTCGTGGATGCTTTCTCATCCACCCTTCCTCCCTCCCTTTTTTGAGGGGAGTGGGGCGTTCTCAGCCTTGGAAGTAAGCAGGGGTTTTATTTCTTTTGGCAGACAAAAGCAAAAAAAAATCCAAACATCTTTCAAACAAAACCTGCCACTGATTCTCATCCCATGCGCAAGACAAAACAATAAAAGTACTTTGGCGCCATCTGGTGGAATATTTTTGTTAGTTTTGCTTCTTTCTCACTCTCAGCTGAAGTTTCTTGTCTAGCAAGACCTAAATTATAGTTAAATAAAGATGCACATAGACTTTGAGTCCGTGACCTTCATGCTAACGCTAAATAGCATCTTATATTACCGTGCTTTTTAAATGGTGAAAGGACGATCGACGAGTACACAGTCATATATTCTTTATCCTCTGTGAAAAATGAACACTCCTGATCAACGCATATACAAAACTCTGTCCGATTATTGCTCGTTCAAGATGCCCTCCAGTTCAGAAATCTAAAACCTGTTCATGTTTCACTGCAGCAAGGATGTCATTGTTTTTCCGCTGACTGTGCATTTTTTTTTTTCTTTTGCTCCGGAGCCAGGCTCCAACTTCAATCCCCGGGCCACTATTCTCCTTTGGAGGCCTTCTACGAGGACAAGAGGGCACTGCTGCTCCCTAGCGGCGATGACGTCGTTTCACTTTGCCCTATCAGTGCCTGGGGGGTCGCCATCAACCACAGCATGCATCCAGAAATGAAGGTTAAAAACCCACCACAACCCCCGGTTCTGCTTTTTTTTTTTCCCCCTCTCTCATTTTAAAGAGGTTGTTGCCAGATCACCCACCCGGCAGGCTGCATGTCCCAGTTCATCCGCTTCTTCGGCGAGCAGATCATGGTGCTGTGGAAGCTGGCGCTGCTGCGGCGGCGAATCCTCATTTTCTCTCCGCCGCCCGTGGGCGTGGTCTGCTACCGAGGTGCGGAGAAACAGCTGGCTTTTGAAAGCTAAAAAAAAAAAACGACACTTGGTGTGTGTTTTATCGCTCTTGTCCCCCCCCACACATCTTAGTGTACTGCTGCTGTTGCCTGGCAAACATTTCCATCCCGGGAGTGGGCGTGGCCGTGCCCGAGTTCAGGCCTTTCTTCTACGTCAACGTGGCCGACATTAGCGCGCTGGAGAACGAGCTCTCCTATGTGGCATGTGAGTGAAACGTCACGCTAATATACAGTTGATGCCCACATTAATTTTGCTTTTTATTTTAAGTTGGGTCATAAAATCGGTTAATGAAGCTGATTTGAAAAATTATGTCGATTGTAAAACAACAAAACAAAAAAAAACATGAGTAAAATAAACCGTTGTAGGTGTATCGAACGATTAGTTAATATATTAATTCTGAATGAATATTTAAATAGACAAATACAATTTTACACACACGCATATTTAAGTATACATACTTTTACATGTACTCCATATTTGATGTTTAATATTTGGTCAATATTTTTACTGTAAATAATGAAGTGAAAAAAATAACAAAATGCTAACTCAAAACGTTTGTGGTTCATTTATTATTTTGTGATCCCACAATATCATATTAGAGAAATAAACAATGATGTCTGTGCATTCAGCATGATATATGTTTACAGTCAATAATAAAAAAAAAAAAAAACGCACATATACATTATATTTTCATTTTTTAAATTCGATGTTTGGTAAATTGAAAAGAAAATACTGTAAAATAAATTCTAAAATAAGCATACAGTATTTATATAAATACATTTGAGACAAAAGAAAATACTGTAAAATAAATTCTAAAATAAGCCTATTCATGTCAATACATTTGAGAAATTTATTTTATTATTTGAAGTAGTTAAAGTAAAATTAATCAGTTCAGATGGATGAATTATTAAGATGTTTAAAACCATTAAAAAAATTGTTTAAATGATTCAAATATATCATACACCTTTTATATTTGCGACATTTACGACAATAGAATAAAATTTCCGGGATGAATTATTAAGATGTTTAAAACCATTAAAAAATTGTTTAAATGATTCAAATATATTATACACCTTTTATATTTGCGACATTTACGATAATAGAATAACATTTTCTATAAATAACATGCAAAACACGAGGACAATTTTTTTTAATTCACATTTATTAGTTCTTTTATTGGGCAGGGGGGATCCCCGAAATTTCCCCGCCCCCCCAACTGCTCGCCGCTTTTTCCTGGAAAACGCATGTCATAGGTTTGAGAATTTTGGGGTGTTGAAACACAAAAAAAAAAAAAAAATCCAAATTTTGCACACCCACATGGTTACTATGTGCAGGTACGACCGAAAAGATCTTCGAGGAGAAGCGGGATCTCTACGACGTCTACGTGGACAATCAGAACGTCAAGACTTACAGGGAGGGTCTCAAGCCACTGCTCCGCATCAGCACCGCCGACCGGGAGAAGTATCGCAAGCTCACTGAGCAAAGGTGCGTCATGTAACGAAAGAAAAGAAAATCCCATCGCGGTATACGTCAAGATCAGTCATACTGGATGCCGATTGTATGATTTGCACTGTTGCAGGAAGATGCTGCTATACTCTCAGGAGGAGAATGGCGACTGCGTGTCCAGTGAAGAGGATCTCTTTATTCTGTAAGGTCACACGAATTGAAAAAAAAATGATTCGGATGCAGGGGTCTGTCGCGTTTGATTGTTGAAGCGGGCAGATGGACAAGGTCATTATGTCATTGAGTAACCTGATAACATGATCAGCTGTCCACTGTCGTGACCGCTGACCCCCAAAAAAGGTTCATGTAAAATATTTTAATCCGAAAAGCGTGCAAATACTGGAACGTATATTTTGACTTCAGGTTTTTCCTGGAGCAGAACAACCGGATTTTCCAGACCCTGAACGAGGTGGCCGCCAGTCCTGACCCGACGCTGACCACGGAGAGCGTGAGGGCCATGGGACTGGACCCGCACGGCGACCGGCTCTTCCTGCTCCACCTGCTGGAGATCTACGGTTTTGACGCGCTGCTGGTGTCCGACCAGCTTTGCTGCAGCTGAGACGCCGATTCCGCCTTCGGGATGGCTTCTCGACCGCAAATAGCCGCCTCCTCGATTATTTTCTTTTGATTTATTTAATTTTTTTTAGAATCTTCCTCTGCTCCCAGTGGGTCGAGCAAACCCCCCCCCCCCCTCCAACCTGGATACTGTGTTGCATGACCGGTGACCACAGCCTCGCGTTCTGTAAATATTGTTTTGTCTTTCCCGTGTGGGTCTCCTGCAGGCCTAGTTGAAGCATTTATGTACAAATCAACATTTCATTTGTAAAATGTGAACACTGTCGTTGAAGGATGCATCTGTTTTTTTTTTTTCATTCTTGTTTTTTTCTTCTTCTTTGCCATAGCTGAGACCAAATTGAAATCTTTTCAACGGGCTCCAAGTGGCGTCGACGCAGATTTATTTTGCACGCTGCCAGCTGAGCCTCCGCGTCCAATGTCCAGTTGGGGTTGGAACACTAATCAAGACGAACGCAGGCCCTTGGGGAGGAAGCTAAGTCGTTTTCTGCTGGCTGTCTTGGTACCTTGACTTACGAATGTCATTTGTTTAGCATCACTCACATCTCTAATCATCTTGCCCCATTGACGTGAATGGAAATCTACAAAAAAATTGACATTTTCGCAAGGACATAAAGTTACAAATGACTTGGGCCAGTATGCTACCATGCTAACTTTTTTCTTAAAGATTTAAATCGACTTCAATTTTGATGCTAATTTCATTACCAGACCCCCCCCCCCAATTTTGCTGCTGTAGACTGTAAATTTCCCCAATGTGGGACAAATAAAGGTTATCTTATCAGCCCCCCCACCCCAGTATTTCCTATTATGCGTTATCATTAAGCTAGCAGACTTTTAGCAAAGACCAAGTTACTCTGTGTAGCGCTTGACCCAAAAAAAAAAACATTTTGAATAAAACTCCTTTATTTGATTTAAAAGATAAGTGACTGGTATCGTTTCACTTTGAAACATTGAATTGTGTTTTGGTTTCGTTTTACAGCTAATTTCAGCTGAGTGGCCATAAAGACAACAGTTACCCGTATTTTCACACTTTTTTTTCTCTTGCTTACGAAACAAAACAAAACATCAAGTTAGAGCATTCTTAAGTCAAGATACCACTGTAGTTTCCCTGCGGCTAAGTATAACTATCGAACACCAGATCAAATGAATGTGTTTTCTCAAAAGTAATTCCAATCCAGTAAAGCCTCATATTGTTTTCACCGACCGAATTGTACAGGGCTCAAGCAAACCTCTTACTAGTAGCAGTAGGGGACACTCTGATTCATGTTAAAACTATTTATTTATTTTACTGTCAACCATTTCAGAAATAAAAAGTGGCCCCACCACCTGTGAGGAAATCGCAGTTCTCTTGTTTGAATGTTGCCCGTTCCTAAACGATAACAAATTCTTCCCCGCTGGATTCGCTGGCGCAATCGTCGGAGCCCGTCGCGGCCGCCCCCAGAGCGGCCAACCAGGCTCGTTTGACGTCCGTGTGCTCGCAGGTGAACTTGTGGCAGCTTTTGGATTGTCTTAAATTGAAGCAGGATTGTCCATGGAGCTCCTGAGGGGGATCTTCCACGATGCAGCCCAGCAGAGAAATACAGGAGAGAGGCTTCGTATCCTAAATGAGGCGAAGAAAAAAAAAAAAAAGTAAAAAGGTAAGTCATAATTTTTTAGGTAGGGGAAAAAAATGCAATTTACCTGTTGAGCTGCATATAAAGAGAGGACCAGCGGTTGCGTTTTGTTGATGACAGCAAACACCCGCTGCCACGTTTTGGGATTGTCGCTGTATTGCAGGAAGCCGCTCATCATGCAGGACGCTGACAAAGACTCCGACTGAGGGGGAAAATAAAACCAAAAAAAAAAACCTACATTTGGACTCACACTGTGGATTTAAATCCGGGATGGGCAAAGTTTGGCCCTTAATCAGGTTCACTAACCTTTTACATTATTAAGAGTCCTGTCTTATATTGTGCTTATGTCAGTTTTTCTAAAATTAGCCATTTACAATCAAATGCAAAAAAATTCAATATTTAAAAACAAAAAAAATTTAATTAAGACTACCGGTAATACAAAATGAACATGCATTTTTATGAGCACAGTAGGCTGGTTGTGCACAGTTGCTCATTGTAAATATCTTATTTGCATAACATTAAAAGTTTCGTAAAATATATTTGAATGAAATTGAAAGGAAAAACAAACGTTACATAAACTAAAATAATATTAAATTGCTTATTAAATTGACTTCACATCCAAATTACTTATTGCTAAAATAAATTTACCATTTTTGTTTTGGTTAATTAAATTATTTAATGACAAAAATTGAATTTAATTGGATTTTTTTTCTTTTATTCATTTAAAAAATTAAATTGTCAATAAAACTGGGTTGGTTATTTGAAATGCATTTTTTTTCACGTGCACGGACAGTGGACATTTTTTGAACATTTTTTTTTGCTCTTGCTCAAACGTTTTATTTAGAATAAATTCATTTGAAAAAGGAGCATGATTTTTTTTTTGTTTTTGTTTGAACCCTTTCAGGCACAGCGGCCACTGCAGTGGACATCTTATGTTACCGGGTGAATGAAAGGATTAATGACAATCAACTTTTTTTTTTTTTTTTCTTTCAAGAATGACCCTTGGGCCCACCCACAACTTTTATTCGACCCACTCACCTCAGCTGTTGGCCTCTTGGTGCTCTCGGCCCTCCTTCCTCTCTGCGCCGTCAAGATGGAGTAGCAGGATTTGCACACCTTGTTCAGCTTGTTGCCGTCATACGCCAGCGCCGCCTTGTTGTCGGAGCACTTCCAGCACACCACGCAGCCGCAGGCCCGGCAGTGATGTCGGCGTCTGGTCAGCGGGTTGAAGGGCTCCCGACACTTCATGCACAGGGTCACTTCATTGTCGCGGATCCAGCGAGGGGCGCGCCGACCGAGCTCCTCCGCCTGGGGAAATGCGAGCCTCAGCCCGGATGCCGCCGGCCGTATTGCAGGTAGTCTCCCCACTTACCGGCTCCTCCACATTTAGCTCCTTAGATGCCAACTTGAACGCCTCGTTTTTCTTCTGGAACACGTCAATGGCGTCCCGGATCACCTGGAGAACGAACGTGAAGTCCATATTTTCCCACACCAGGTAACATGACACTTATTGTAACAAACGCAGCGGTGCCTTGATTGAAATGTCATTAAGTCAACAAAAGGGATGCCGTTACCTTTATCCACTCATCTCGGTCCTGTTCAGAGCTAGAAAAAAAAAAGCACATCAAAATCAATATGTTGGGGTCTGACCTTACGTACAAGTAATCAGAATCGGTTTATTGTCATTGTGGAATGCTCAGTTTACTCAGATGGCAAAAAAAAATAAATAAATGAAGAGAGTGGGGGAGCACAGTAATGATTTTGATAACAACCTAATCTAAAAAAGGACGCATACCTGGTCTGGAGCTCCAGGGTTTTCTCCTTCCCCGACACCTGGAAGGTGTACGGGTGGTCGTCATTGATGGTTTGCTGCACCTGCATGCCGTCCATTCCGATACGGCAGCGCACCGTAAAGCGCTGGCCCGCCAGGCTGAACTTTGGCGTGCAGCACAGCAGGAAGTTGTTAAACTGTGCAATAAGACAAATAGAGTTTGTAAATTGAATTTGGCCATGAGGGACAAATTAAATACAAAAAAAATGCATAGTTTTACCAGAAAGAGGTGGCGCTCCATGGCAGACATGTTCCTCGCGGCGAGCTTGAGCAAACGCCCCTCCCTGAGGAACTCGTTGGTGGGGTTCACCACTTCCTCCTCGCCGACCATCTCGTAGATCTCCAGCAACCTCTTGATGCTCTCCTACGAGAGACCAAAAACGTTTTTAAAAAATTGAGCATCGGAAGATGAAGATGAAGCCCAAGGCGACTGACAGCTTGATGGACGGCGCTGTTTGAGTGGTTGGCAGCCATGGAAATTGTCTGCAGGGATTCTGTGCAGAAGAGAGACACAGAAGGTCCAAACTGGTTCAACGTGATATCTGTCCGATGACGCCGAGTGACAACACTCACGCTGAGCAAACTCATAGTCCGGGTTACTCGAGGGTACAGTTTTGACGTAATCCCTGAGCAACATCTCATAGCGAGGGATTCTCTGGACCGGTTCCAACATGTGATGCTGCAGAGTGAGATTGACGCACACTTCCTGACTCTATATGGAGAAAAATAAGAGCTCTTGAATGTTCTCTATCTTCAGCGAGGAACTGATTTGATTTTCCTACCTGGATGTCCTGGATGATATTGCGGAAAGCGGATGAGCGCTCGGTCCAGAGTCTCACCAACCCCATGGCCTGGTCGAAGTTCCTGACGTAATCGGCGTACATCCTCAGGAAGGGAGCGTGCTGCAGGAGGACATTGCCCAAACCTGGACGCTCATGCCTCGATGTGGGGGAAAACAAAAAACAAAATATAACTTCAATCTTGTGGTGACCGGTGACCCCACATTCATCAGGAACCTGAAAATGAAATTACAAAGTGCCCGTTGACCTACACCCCCGCCACAAATCGCGAAAACCCAGGAGGAACCGCCCATGTTCTGCTCACTTCAAGATACTTGCCACCAGATCAAACAGCGAAGCCAGATAGACAAAACATTTAAAAACTGGATTCCGGTTTTTGTCACAGGATGAGGACCCACCAGTGTCCGATGCAGTCTTCCAGGTCAGGCAGCAGGAACTGACTGTGGAAGGAGTAGATGGACGAAATGTTGGAGAAGATGTTTCGGACCACGTCGGCCGGAAAGGAGCCACGTCCGGCCTCGTCCGTTAATCGCAGACAGAAAACCTGCAAAGGGGATACCGGTGTAAGACTTTCAAGACCATAGACTTTCAAGACCACCTCCACCCCGACACTGACCTGGTCCAGGAGGTGAAGGCGGGCAACGTAGGCCCTCTCCGTGTGAAGGAGTTCACTGACTATTTTGAACAGTTTCTGCTCAGTGTTCTCCTCCTTTTGCTCCTCGGTCTTCTTCTCAAGTTTTTCCTCGCAGTGTTGGTCTTCACGTGTAGTCTCAGTCCATTTGCAAGAGAACCGGGATCCCACGCGGATCTTGGAGGCTTTATCGGCACGGATGGGATCGGTGTGTAGGTTCGGAGTGACTTCGCGCTCGGTGCGATTGAGTCTCTGGTCCGTTGGGGCTTTGACGGTGATGGTAGGTCGACTGCGCAAGGCAGAACCTTCTGTCATATCCGATGGAGGTCTGGAAAAACGGGAGTTATTGAGTCGCAGTGCCAGAAAGAACTGAGGCCACATTGCGGTTTTTGTCGTGACGGACGGTGACAGTTCTGGACCAAAAGAAATACCGCGACTTAAGAGTCGAATGAAAGTTTTGTACAAAAGTCAAGAAGTAGACTCGATAAAACCAAAAATCCAACCTTTCATCCAAGTACACGATGAGATCCGGCACACTCAAAGACTTCCCCGATTGCTTCTTTTGTCCCTCAGTCTTCCCGCTTGGGATCCTGTTCAACCCCAGCCAGGATTTTGAGTTGCTGGCAGGGGTGTAGCTGCCCGTCTTTCCCTGAATGGGGCTCGGGGTTTTCAGTAGTCCTGAGAGGGGGCTTCGGTTTTTCGGGGACAACTTGGCCGGACTGTGGCCTCCCTCCCTCAAGGGACTGCATTTGTGGATGCCTCTCTTGCCCGAACTTGGAGACAACAATGCCGGACTGCTCGCGAGTTTGGGGATCTTCTGAGAAGGGGACAGCCTGGTAGGGCTTAAACGTGGCTCACTGAGAAAACCCGGTCCAGGTTTGTTAGGACTACGGCACATGTGGTAGCAAGTCGCTTGGGTCGGCGTGTTGTCTTCATTCAAATGCCACGGGGGGAGCCCAGATGAAGACGGTGGTGCGGTCTTCATTGGAGTCTGGAGGTGCGCGGGCTTTGGAGGCACTGCAAGGACACAGCATCTCATGTCAGAATCGACTCTGTTGAGCTCCAAGCAGACTTGAGCTCACCTCGTGGCTTGCAGGGAGTTTTCTTGGATGGACTTATTCCGTCTTGGTGTTTGGAATTGGGCGCTGATTCGCAGGTGCTGTTGCAAGAACCACCGCTTACCACTGAAATAAACGCGCACCGTTTTATACCACGTGTCGGATTGTGCATTTCGTTAGTCTTATAGCGTCGTTCCCTTAAAAATCATCATGTTCACCCATTCGGAAACCATCTTGAAAGCTTTGACCCCAAGTCTGACTGTCGCTCCACCCTACACATTGACATTTTTTAAAATCGATTTGAGGCAGTGAGTCAACTTTCTTTTTGACAAGAGTCACAAGCATAGTGGTAAAAATCAGCAAGATGCAGTCATTGAAACACACAAATCCGCACTAACCTACATCCTTCAGCTCATCTTTACGGCACTGATAACTTCGTGGGCCAAACTTCCATGAATTGAAGCTTTTACAGTTCATTCCCGAGGCTCTGCTGAACTGATCTGCTCGTCGTGCCAGTGAGCCCATGTCTCAACTCTGTCACATTTCTGCTTTCTCACTTCTGCGTCATTTGTCAGCATATAGAAGGGGTGGCCTCCCGTTAGAGGCTCAAGGGTAACATTTTCCATTGCAGAAAACACTTGAAATCAATTTCCGGATGGGGTTTTAACGCAGGATTGACACATTCGTCACTTATATGAAGAAGGATAGGAAGAAGTGATGCTTGGCACTGATGACTCCATAATTCTATCAGTACCATCAGGGCACGAATTAGACAAGAGGGGTAAAACAAACCCTTCAGGAGAGGAACAACTGAGCCTTTGTGTGTGCTTGCTGCTGCGTGTGAGAGTGTCAAACAAAAAGCAAAAGAGCAAAGTCCAGGCTGAAGCAGGGGAAAGAGATTTGCCTCAATAATCCCACAGGCACCAATTAACACGATTCACAATGCATACATTCAACACATGGCGTCTTTGTTCGCAAGCTGACATACTATGAAGTGACGTAAGTGTAGAGTTTCAAATTTCACTGTCGTCATTTTATATTAATTCATACCCAGTGTGGTTAATTGGCATCAAATAACTCCAAAAGACAATGGCGCGAGGTATTTTCGATTTTATTTCCTTGAGAGTATTTCACGTGCGCAAATTGGTTAAAAGGGTGATTTTTAGGGAGTGCAGCTCACCTGTGCGACAATCCGCGGCAGCGCCTTTCGCCCTCCGTCGGACCGCCACGCGTCGGAACTCCTCGGCGTCGCGGCTGCTGCTGTTCAGCGTCAAACTATTCCTCTTCTTCAGGTCGAACATGGTCAAGGTGTCTCAACTCGTTGTGGCGACCCCAAGTTCTGTCAATGTGGGTGAGTGAAAGGAGGCCAGAAATTTGAGAGGTGTGATGTGCGTGTGGCAAAGTGGGTGTGTCAGAGCTGCTGCAGTTAATTATGGAGAAGTGGAGGACTCCATTTGCTATTTCCACAATACGACATCAAGATGGCGCCAGAGTGCCAATCCTAATCCTCAACTCTTGTTGACTGCTGTCGTGTTTGTATTTTTAGTTTACTTTCTTGGAGTTATAATAAAAAATATATTACATTTTACATACACACCAAAACTGTACCTAATTTAACAAGATACATAGAATACATTTAGACAGAGCAAACGGCGGAACTATCGGCCCTCGCAAATGACGTCATATATGTTTGTTTTTTTTAATAGATAGCTTCTAGCACGAGCAAAGAGTTCAATTCTTCTCATTTATGTGTGCACGAAGGAAGATTTTAGCTCGGGCTGGACTACATAAACGAGGTATTTTGCTTTTGAAGCAGTACTTTTTAACTGGCAACTTCTCGCTAGGTAGCGAGTTAGCTATCGAAAAAAGTGTATTTCGCTCTGGCTAAAACTGCTTTGCTAGCTTGACAGTTGCTAACGTCTTTTTACAAAGTTTTTGTTGTTTGTTTGTTTCTGTAATGCTATTTTCGACGCGTGTGTGCATATGTATTGAAAATGTGAACATTTTACAAAGTAATTTATTCGGTAGTTTTTTTTTCTTTCATTGTCTTTTTAGCATCGGGTGTGTTTACATCACGAACATTTCAAATGTTTTTTTTTTCTTTGTATGAAGTGAAAATAACACAACTGTTTATGTACATTTTATACTAATGTATTCTTCTTCTTCTTCTTATTTACTATCGTGATTGCAATATGATGCACTGCTTTCCTCCGCCAGATGGCGGAAAAGTGATAAAGACCGTCAGACAAAGAGAAGAAGGGGGGCGGGGAGACAGAGGATGCCAGTGACCGGTGCGTCGTCACAGCACCTCGGCTAAGCGAACGATCGGCAACCCGCACTCCCGGTCTCATTTCCCCTTCACTATTCTCCCTTTCCCCTCCCATTATTGCGTTGCCTTGTCAGCTACCAAAGATGTCAGCCAGGCCGGGATTCTACCGACAGGAGCTGAATAAGACGGTGTGGGAGGTGCCGGAGAGATACCAGAACCTGACGCCGGTTGGCTCCGGAGCGTACGGTTCGGTGTGGTAAGTATTCGTGTGAGTGTGTACGTGTGCAGGGGCGAGGCTGCAGCCCCAAAAAATGCCCGCCTGCATGTTGGCTGTGTCATCAAAATAAAGCTGTTTATTTTGTTCACTTAACATTCACTACATCATCCAGGTTATTACAAAAGTGTCAAATGAAAATATTTTGTTTACGTTGTGACAGGCGTCCTAATAATTAATCCTGTGCATTCCTCTTGGATGGTGCATTAAACCCCCTTGAGTGCCAGTTGGAGCTCATAGTTGCTATGATGATACCCAGCCCTGACAGCATCAGTTAAGTTCAGAGGCAAGCAGAAAGGCGGGTATCAGTTTTATGTGGCTGCCAAGGGGAAAATTGGGACATGAGTTCAAAATTGCAGTTGGTTTTAAAGCACATAAATTGATTCCGAATGTACCTAAAAATTGACATTGTCCGAAAAGTAATCATTTACTTTGACTCTCATTACAATATCTTTCTTGATTGTTATTTTTTTGGCAATGTATTCTGCGAAAAAAAAAAAGCCCCTGACAAATTCACATCACAAGTTCAAATCCTGTTTGCGATGGTGCGACACGATTAAGACTTCCCCTTTGCTGTGAAACGGAGTTGAATCATACCAACTGCTCTTTCGCAAGACCATCTCCTCAGCTTTAACAATTTAGAACAATCTTGTGTGTTCGGTTCATGTCGGTTTTTGCTTAAATATAGTTCATATTTTAACACCAGGTCATTTTTGGTTTGAAATGTCTCCACCGCTTCCTGGTCGTTTGTTGATTTCTTATTAGTTTCTTCTGCCCAGCTCATACGTCAGCCAATCAGCTCGGCCCACATCCATTTTCCTCATTTGGTTATTCTCCATTGTGGCACAGCAGAGATATACACACCCTACATTATGATTTTTCACTTTAGATTTCTTCCTGGTTTACCGCAGGCGCCACTTCAGGCGCAAACGAATATGCGATATATGATTCTCTCATTTCGACGACGATGAATAAAACATCTCCGATGTTTGCCGTTGAGTGCCATTTACTTGCCGCGGCGTCAGAATGTGTTTTTATGATAGCAATTGAATAAATGGTTCAGAGGTTCAATGCTATTATGCATGGACATATATCAAAGATGCATGCATATTTTATGCCAACCAATGGATGTGAAAAAAAAACATTGCTGGTTGATGAAATATTAGTCAAAAATAACCGCAGGTTTGACTGATGAACCCTTTCATGCATAAGCTGTTCAATGTCGTTGCCGCCGTGCCTGAAAGGGTTAACCACATAAATCGATAAAAAATGAAATCCAACCGCCAACATCCTCATCCCGCAACCGAATAAACGCGCTTGCGCTACACCCGAGAGCCTAACGCTCCGTGTATGGAAAATGGCATCACGGCAGAGACATGGCATGCGCGAGCTTCATGTCGGAAAGATTGGCTGAAATCCGACAAGGGGGCATCTGGAGTGGCAGCAGGGTGACTCGGAGGCCCTGGAACAGGACAGCGCAGTCAGCCAATGTGGGATGGACAGACCTAAAAACCAGTAATATGCATCAGATGGTGTAAATACTTACTCTGGTTGTACCACTTTGAGAATCAATGCCTAAGTACCTAGTCCCTAGTAAATCTCAATTTCTCTCCAGTTCTGCCTACGACGTGATCCTGCGACAGAAGGTGGCGGTGAAGAAACTGTCGCGGCCCTTCCAGTCGCTGGTCCACAGTCGCCGCTCGTATCGAGAACTCCGGCTCCTCAAGCACATGAAACATGAGAATGTGAGCGCATCCTGACGTTGCGAAATAAACCCGAGCGAGCAGCTGAGCAGCCCGGCTGCCTGCGCTTGTATTGATTGAAATGTTCCGTCTGCTTTAGGTAATCGGCCTGCTGGATGTCTTCACACCTGCTGCAGCGTTGGAAGACTTCAATGAACTGTAAATATTGAACCTGAATCTGGAAGTGCGTTGCCACCATGTTTGTTTCTCACATGTTTCTTTGTACATTTTTTTTTTCCCCCCCTAGCTATCTGGTGACCAACCTGATGGGTGCGGACCTGAATAACATTGTCAAATTCCAGAGGTTGTCCGATGAGCACGTGCAGTTCTTGATTTACCAGCTCCTGCGTGGTCTAAAGGTGAGTTGCTGTGCTAAAAGGAAGCGCTGGGGAAAGTTTGGTGTTGAAGGGCCATGTTAGATTTTGAAAACAAGGAGAGGGTCGGGTCATTTCTGATGTCAAGTCAAGAGTCGAACTATAGGCAAAAAGTTTATATCCAAGTAAAAAAAAAAAAAAGTTCATTTTACTCTTGGGATCAATATTAATCATTCACTTTGGTTGAAATGAAGTGAATTCTAATCAATGAACAGTGACAATATTAACACAGTATTATGTATTATGCACACATTTATTTTGACTGATATTTTTATTGTACGCACCGGAAAAAAAATCATAAATTATTTCCAAACATAAGTAAAATTTCTGCTTGATTTTTTTTTCATGTACAGTAAAGAATTGGAATATTTTAGAAAAAGAAGCCAAAATGTAGAATCTAAAATTTATTTTACAAGTTCCATTTTTTTTGTTTGCCATAAAATAAATGAATAAGCTCTTTAAAAAAAAAAAAAAACGTTAAATGTATTTGTAAAGTGATTTTACGAGTATTGTATTTGAAATAACTCAATAAATCATCCATTGAATAACACAAGTCTTGAATTTAGAAAAATATATTTAAATTATTAATATTTACAAATTATTTTTACAATACATGATTGTTAAAAAAAGTTGAATTACATCAAAAATGCTTTCTTGACGGTTTTTATTGTATCATTTAGAATTTTAAAAAATGAACCAATTATTTGGACTCAAGTAAATGTAAAAGTCAAACTTTATTTTGCCAACATTTTTATTATTTACAACAACAAAAAAAGTCTCCATTATTTGCTAAATGAATAAAACAATATGAAATATACTATGTATGGAAAATTGTGATTATTTTTTTTAAGTAATCTATTACTTTCGCAAAGTTAATGGATCAAAGAAATTCTTGTTAGACTGACCGATTTGTGTCTGAGGCATGCTAAAAATAGACGGCTCCAGCTGTTCAGTCTGGCGCGTTCCCATGGAAACGGCCAAAAGCAGCCTCCCCCTTAGACGAGCGTGTTCGCCGCGAGTGTATGGCCAACTGCATTGTTGACCCTTGTCTTCGTCATTTATCTCCTCACGCATGGCGCCGAACAGTACATCCATTCAGCCGGATTGATTCACAGAGTGAGTGCCTTCACTTCCTGTCGCTTTGACCATCAATTTCCTCCGGGGCATGCGCGGCTTTCACACCGCCACGTAATCTCAATCACGGCTCCGTATTTCCTTGCAGGATCTCAAGCCAAGTAACGTGGCCGTGAATGAGGACTGTGAGCTGAGGGTAAGTGCGTACGCTCGCGTTTTGGCGTCCTCACCTTTTGTTCGAACGCCTGCGTGCAACTGCCCGTCCCGACAGATCCTCGACTTTGGCTTGGCCCGCCAAACGGACGACGAGATGACAGGGTACGTGGCGACTCGTTGGTATCGGGCGCCGGAAATCATGCTGAACTGGATGCACTACAATCAAAACGGTGAGGTGTTTTTTTTTTTCTGCCCCCTTCCCCTCCCCCCACTGTTTATTTATTGATCTGTGGTCTTTTTCCTCCAGTTGATATTTGGTCAGTGGGATGCATTATGGGAGAGCTGCTGAAAGGAAAAGTCCTGTTTCCCGGCACTGACTGTATCCTTTATCAGCATCGGAAGAGGCCGCAGTCGTTCCCCTCACCCTCCATTATCTTTGCAAAGTGATCCACGGAGGTCTTTTGGATTTGCATGACAATCTCTTTTCCCGAAGGCGAGCACAGAAAAGGAGCCGGAGGAATGAATAGCGGCCGCCACAAAAGGCCTTGAATTAGCCCGCTTGTTGTGTTTGGTGTCGGGGGGGAGCAGTACTAAAACCAATTTGATTAAGTGATCTTGGCTAGGGTCTGTCTTTAACTGCTCCTGCTCAAAAAAAAAAAAAAGATATCGACCAACTGAAGAGAATCATGGAGATGGTCGGGACGCCGACCGCTGACCTCTTGGAGAAGATCTGCTCTGAGCATGTGAGACATGACATCACACAAAAGAAATTGTATTGAAATGCATGGCAGTCGTCGTATTTTAAAGTCATATTTCATTTCAAATTGAGTATCTATTTTTCTTCAGTGGGGCGGGAAAAAAAACTGAGGATTTTGTAAACATTCAGTTTAGTATGAATTGAACTCGAAATTAAATATAAAATGGAAAAGAAATAAAAACACGTGGCGGCTGGGCAAATGGGCATCAATAGATCGTTGTCGCTGTTACAAAAATAATCCTTAAAAACATAAGGATACATATTTCATCTGTGTTGTCTGAAATGCCGCGTTTCAAATCCGTGGGGCAATTTTTTTTTTTTTTTCCAATTCACTCATGTGAAAAGTTTGATAGTATGCAGTAGGTTCCTCTGTCATGCAAGAGATAGGACCAAGGTGGGGTGCGACGTTGCACATCAGGGATGCCATACTATACTATCAATCAATGAAAGGACTGCTCTGTATTAAATATGAAATGGAAAAGAAAGGTAAAACAAAGAGTTTTGGTGCGTGTGACTGAACATGACTCGTGTCCGCAGGCACAAAAATACATCCAGTCTCTGCCTTTTATGCCTCAGCAAGACCTGGAGAAGATCTTCCGGGGAGCAAATCCACTAGGTCAGCGCTCCGTTTCGTTACCATGCTCGTACATGAGGATTATTCTTGCTTCCGGCGCCATCTTTTGACGTCCGCGCTTAATACAGCCGTCGATCTGCTGAAGCGTATGCTCGTCCTGGACTGCGACGGGAGGATCTCGGCCAGCGAGGCTCTGGCCCATCCGTATTTCTCGCAGTACCACGACCCGGATGACGAACCCGAGGCGCCGCCTTATGACCAAACCCTAGAAAGTAAAGACCGCACTCTCGAAGAATGGAAAGGTGAGATTCCGCCAGGAATGTATCCGTGCACCCTATTGTTTCAGATTTTGATTTTTCTTCTCCCCAATGGACAGAGTTGGTGTTTACAGAGGTGAACGGCTTCAAAGCGTCCGTCAGCAAGACTGGCAGCCTCCAGGTGGAACAGTGAGCCTCCGTTCCTTCAAAAACAGACTCAAGGAAGGCGGCACAATGACTATTACAGGGAAGATTTCATGTCCGATGCGAAAGTTGCTTCCTGTTATGATTCCTCCTTTTTAAATTTTTTTTTTTCCTCCTGCGAGACTGAAAGAGGAACAACGCAGCTCCCGACGGGTGTTTCATAAACGAAAGCAACTTTACAGAAGTGTTTACAGACCCCACGAGCGGGGCATGGAACGTGAAAGGACATAGGGCACGCTAGGATTTCCAAAACGAGAACACAAGCGCCATCTGGTTCCTCATTATTGCAACGACAAAAAAAAAAAAAAAACCCAGAGACTTTTTCATGTCATCTTTAAAGGCTTTGCCAGACAGCAGCTTTGCATCAAGCCCGCATACTGCATGAGTGTACCTTACCCGCTTATTAATGGTGAACCTATCATACATCAAGAGCACACATTCAGCATCGCCGAAGGAGGGTAATCGTATCCCGATCAGTTCCCCCCCCATGAGTACGAATATCATCATCTGCAGTTTACAGAGAAGTAAACACCAACTGTGCTTTGAATCAACAATGTGTTGTATACAGTATATGCCAAAAGGTCTGTTTACGGAGAAATATCCACCAAGTCCTATTATCCTTGCGCTAATTTACTTGACGAGAATCATGTTTTACTGAAATTGTATGTACGTCATGTCACAGTTGAACAGTGTCTTCAGGATCGTCGGTGGCATGCGATACAATGCGGAGGAGCCATGAAGTTGTCATTTTTTACATGCCGCAACCGCAGGTAGCACGTAATGTCCTCTTATCATTAAACTTTTTTTTTTTTAGGTATTTGTTTTGCCATTCTGCATTTCTGTTCTAATGAACATTTTGTACGGCCAAAGGTATGTTTTGATTGTCAGTCAATTTTTAGGACACCATCTTGAATGAAGGCTGTTATGTTGTAATCATGTATCCGTGTCTTTGTGATGACCGCAACAGCTTTTGGGACTGGGAAATTGACGGTGTAGGATACTGCGGCACGTATCATCAGTCTTGGAATTTAAAAATATTTTTGTCACTATACTATGCAAGAATTAACAATTGCCTCCGATACAGTGCTCACAATTTTCTATTTTGTATGACACTTAATTATGACTCCGATGTTAGCGAGACCACTATCCAATATTTTACGATGCTGTACAATTGGCAATACTAGTCCATTAAACTAATAAAATGTATTAATATACACACACACACACACAAACACACACACGGTGATATTCACCTGAGCCCTACTGCGCATTGCAAAAATCTGACTACCGTATTTTCCGCGCTATAAGGCGCACTTAAAAGCATTCCGTTTTCTCAAAAGCCGACAGTGCACCTTAAAATCCGATGCGCCTTATATATGGATTAATATTCTGATTTATTGGATTTAGTATTTTAAATGTTCTGTAAAGCGCTTTGTTACAGCTGTGGCGGGTGTGAAAGCTCTATATAAATAAAGCTGTCTTGTATTGTATTCCTTTAGCGTAGCTCCATCTAGTGGATGCAGACCGCAACCGCAGCCACTATTGTGGCTTCCATTCAATGCGACTTATACTGCAGTGCACCGTACAGTATATATGAAAACCATTTTAAAATAGGCCATTCATTGAAGGTGCGCCTTATACTCCAAAGTGCGGAAAATACGGTCATTGATAGTGGCACCCCCCAAAAACATTTGTAATTACCTGTAGTTGCCACAAGGTGGAGGCATTACAGTACTAGTCTACCGGAAACTCCTCAACTCACTTCAAAATGCGTCTTTGTCAACAAAATGCCACCAAATGGCGCACAAAATAACAAACTGAGCATATATGTGAAAAATAATTCCTTCTATACTTTGATTGGATAACCGTAGTCAGATTTATAATTGACCACACAGCACAATGTAATCTTAGGTAGTCATCATCTTTTTAACGTCACCGATTTCTAAGATTAGCACTAAAAATGCAGTCAAGCAGAATAACCAGGGCAGATGTTTGTCTCACATTACTGACACACCCATAAACTGCCCAGGGCGACCGAGAGGCACAATAGATGCGTTTGTGTGTGTGTGTGTGTGTGTGTGTGTGTGTGATGGGGGTGTCGAGGAAGACCCCTGGAGGAATTCTGCCCTGCAAACTTCTCCACAGGACACACTGCACTCCTTCCCCAGCAGTTATCAGCAGACGCTTTGGATTTTCTTCCCTCATGAGCTTCCCCGACACAGCAGAACCCAAGCGGATTAATCTGCTCACCTCCAACTTCTCGGGGATGGCTCTGCGCGGCTCCAGGACGGGATTCTACAGGCAGGACCTCAACAGAACTGTGTGGGAAGTCCCGGAAAGGTACCGAGACCTGAGACAAGTCGGGACAGGCGCTTATGGAACTGTCTGGTGAGGACCACTAAAATTTTGACTGCAACAAAACAAACAGAAAAACATTTGTGTATTTTACTTCAAACTAGTTGGATCATTACCGCTACTTTTGAGGCTTTTTGCCAAGTTTGGTCCCCCTACTCTGACACAGCTGGCTCCACAAGGACCCCCACTATGCATTGTGTTGTGGGGATAAGGGGGTCTCCAAAGAATAGCACCCCCCAGCCTCTTTGTTGTTAAAAGTCAAAGAACTTTTCTCCAGCTGACATTTGCGCTTATCTGGGTGGAGGGTAAAGTTTGAATTAACACAAATGACTGGGGTTCATAATATTTTAAAACAAACACTTTTTAATGATTAAATGTGTCTGTATTGACTTTAAAAGTTAAACACTGAACTTAACAAATGCACTAAAACGCCTTACAAAAAACAAACAAAACAAAACAAACACGAAGCTGCCATAGCATGCAGTTACGTTTAATTCAGTGATACTTTTGCACACCACAAGAGGGAGCCAGCGCTTAACTCTACCATTTCAGTTCAGCGTGGGACCGGCGGACCAGCTCGCAGGTGGCCATCAAAAAGCTCCATCGGCCTTTCCAGTCCAAACTTTTTGCCAAGAGGGCCTACAGGGAGCTGCGCCTCCTCAAACACATGAAGCACGAAAACGTGAGATGAATTAAATCACTTTTTTTTTTTACAAATAAACACAGCATAATTCCTTCCCATTTGGTTTCTCTTGCATAGGTGATCGGCCTGCTTGATGTTTTCGCGGCGGAAATTTCCCTTGACCGCCTTCGAGATTTGTAAGCTCTAATTCTATTTTACCTTTAACCCTTTCAGGCACAGCGGTTACTAAAGTGGACAGCTTATCACGTGATCAGGTTACAAGGTGCATGAAAGGTTTAAATTTTAAAAAACATAGTTATTTTGTTTAAATCCGACAGCTACTTGGTAATGCCCTTCATGGGTACGGACCTGGGCAAACTCATGAAGCTGGAGAGGCTGTCAGAGGACAGAGTACAATTCCTCGTCTACCAGATGATGAAAGGACTCAAGGTGAGCGCCTCAGCCTCAATTCAGTTGTCAAAAGTTGTCACTCACGTCTAAATTTCCCCCAAATACAATTCATGTCTTTTTCTCATCTCTCCTCAGTATATTCACTCCGCGGGGATCATCCACAGGGTGCGTGACCTCTCAGATTAGGCACTTTTTGGGGGTGGGGTCCATAGCCTTTTCCCAAATTCCCACACTAGAAGCTTTGTTTGTCTTTCAGTCCTCAAAAAAGAACGACATGATTTAAATGTTTGTTTTAGGAAAGGAGCCACTTGATAAATTCATAATATGCAGTAACTTCCTCTGTCATGCAAGTGTGTGTGTGCGTGCGTGCGCTGACACATACAGTCGAACCTAATAAGTAAATATGTTGATACGGTGCAGTCCAAACAATACATTTTGTGTTCAAACTCCTTTCAGGACCTGAAGCCAGGAAATCTAGCCATCAATCCGGACTGTGAATTAAAGGTACAGTACGTCGTCTTAACACACAGAGCTCTTAAAAAATGGAATTAGCTGACATAAGGCATTTCGACCACTTCAGATTCTCGACTTTGGCCTGGCGAGGCAGGCCGATGCGGAGATGACAGGCTACGTGGTGACGCGCTGGTACCGAGCCCCCGAGGTCATTCTCAACTGGATGCACTACACGCAAACAGGTTTTTCTTCAGTTCAACTCAACGTTATTTCCGGAGCACCTGAAAAACGACCATCATTGCATACAAGGTGCTGTACACGGATTGAAGACAATACTAGCATAAAAAACAGTAATCACCCAGGAGCAGCAAATACAATGGACAAAAAAGAAAGGGTCCCAAAGTTGATCCCTGTGGAACTATGGAAAGTTGGTCGGATTTTTTTTTTTTTTCTCCATCTTATTTTCTCTTCTTTTTTTCCAGTAGATATCTGGTCCGCCGGTTGCATTATGGCAGAGATGCTACTGGGGAAGCCACTGTTCAAGGGCAACGATCGTATCCTGGAGAAATGAACATGAAAGTGTTATTTAAGATGGAAAGCAAAAATAAGTCAAAACGTGAACCTTGACATCAAGCTTGTGTCAGACCTGGACCAGCTCCGAGAAATCATGAAGATCACCGGAACACCGGCTGCAGACTTTGTGATGAAATTACAAAGCCAAGATGTAAGTGTCGAAACCCAACGCACACACTGGATGGACACAAGTATTGGGACACTTGGTAATTACTCTGATGGAATATGCAAATGATGTGTCAACCTTAATAGTTCTTAAAATACTAAACTCATCCGAGCATGCCTTGACAAAGCAGTGTCTTCCTTGCAAATTTGGGGACACGGAACTATAAAATATGTCTTGATTATTTTTAGAAGTACAAGGAATTAAATTTCAATCAAAAAGAATACACAATAATAATGATGTCATAAAAAAGAAGTGAAAATAAAATCAAACTGAAAAGAACTAGAATTACATTGTGCAGCAGTCTCTCGGTTACATTTCAATTGCATGAAAAAATAGTTATCCTACATTAAGCCTTTCATCCACCAATAATGATAACCTGATAAGGCGTCCACTATTGTAGCCGCTGTCCCTGAAAGGGTTACATTTACATGACAAAAATAGAGAAAAAAATAAGAATTGAAAATATTTTTTTGGATGGAATAGGAATTAAACCAAAATTAAATTACAATTATATTGCGGGAAAATTAAATTACATTAAATTAGAATTCACGGAACAGGATTGTCTTTATTTGAAATAGAAAAAAATATATTTTTTCTGAGTAATTTGTTTTTTTTTGGGGGGGCTTTTTTTCTTTATTAGTTTCATTCCCTCTTTTTCATGACACACCCCGCCCCCCTCAAAAAAAGGCCCCAAAAGTTTTTTTTTTTTTTCCTGAGTGAATACAATAAGCTTCCATAAGAATGAAATTAAATTAAAAACAAAGCATGAACTTATATAAATTATATAAATAATACAAAACCTGGATGGCACAAAATTTCTTGAATATCAATGAAAAGAAAACAGAGGTGATACTGTTTGGTCCCAGTGGCCCTTGTACATCCCATCCTGTAGACTTTGGCCTCCTGTCTCCTTATCTTAAGTCAACAGTCTCATACTTGGGTCTTAAACTGGACAGTGATTTTAAATTGGGCTGGCAAATTAGTGCCGTTGTTAAATCCAGCTTCTTTCAACTTAGACGGCTGGCCAAAGTAAAACCTCTCCTCTCTCAAGAACACTTTGAAACAGTAATTCATGCCTTTGTCACATCCCGGCTCGATTACTGCAATACCCTTTACTTTGGAGTCAGCCAGTCCTCCATTAAGCGCCTCCAGCTGGTCCAGAACGCCGCTGCTCGCCTCTTGCCCGGTTCTCGTAAGAGGGAACACATAACTGCTACTCTGGCATCCCTTCACTGGCTCCCCATACATTTTAGAGTTATTTTCAAGA